AGGGAGACACTGGGTCAGGAGAATCCCAGGTTGAAAGTGAAAAGGGCAATTCTTGACCCAGTCATTCTGGCCTCTTCCAGGCCCTGGGCCAGCTTCCTGTTTATGCATTTGTGAGATGGATGGACAAGGCAAGCAGCTACCAGCGTATCCTAGCCTATCTGCACGTCCTCCCCGGAAATGGGCAGGAATCTGGGAGAGAAATAGAAAGGTGGCTGGGTGCCACACTTGTGCCTCCTGGGCCGGCCAGGGTCACCTTGAAAGACAAACAACTTGTTCCTGGTAGCCTGTGGGTGACTAGTTCTCTTCCAGAGAAGTGCACCAGGAAAGACTTCCCCGCTGCCTGGGGCCAGGCTCCCCTCAGTAATCTGGAAGAAGGCCCTGCTGGGAGGCACAACAGTGGAATGGAGTCTCCACATCTCTCAGGCTTGTTTCCTCACCACTAAAAAGAATATTCTCCCTGGACTCTTTTACCCTAGCTCTTGAAGTTTGGCAGAACAAATTGTTAAAGCAGCTTTGTGAAGAAGACAGGGATAATACACAGCCAGTGGGGTTCTGGAGGTAAAAGTCAGGAGTGCAAGGCAGCTTCAGGACCACCCTGACCCCCCTGGGAGTGCCCCTTCCCTCTCTGTGGTGGCTCCAGGCTCCTCTCTCTCCTTCTCACTGCCTGCCTTGGCTTCTGTCCAGATGACTCCTGCTGGCAGATGGCTTTCGGCCATCTTGGCCCAGATTTCAGCTCATCACATCATCTTACTGTGAACTCCACGACCTGCTGTTTAGTTTCATGTGTCTCCTCATTCATAGGCCCAAGACAAGCACTTGGCTGGACCCAGGGTTTGGGGGGTTGAATTGTGTCCCCCCTCCAAAGGATATACTCAGGTCCCAAACCCTGGTACCTGTGAATGTGACCTTATTTGGAAATGGGATCTTTGCAGATGTAATCAAGTTAAGAGGAGATTATACCGATTAGAGTGGATCCTAAATCTCATATGAATGGTGTCCTTAAAAGAAGAGGTCATATTTGGGGGCACCTGGGTGGCTCAGTGTGTTAAACGTCTGCCTTCAGCTCCGGTCATGATCCCAGGTTCCTGGAATCAAGCCCCACATCAGG